GTTCAGATTTAGGTATATATTCCGGATCAAAATCAAGCTTCCTGCTGCAGGAAGCGAGGGAACTCCTCTAAATATTTGTATGCACAAACATGCCCTTGAAACTCTGTGCAGATCCCTTCTTACATATATCCACCATCGTGAGAGTCCAAATTGGAAACTCAATATCCTCGGATAATCAAAAAGGGAGGGTATCCATAGCTACGAGTCCTTTTATTGTTCTTTTTGCACCGCTGATGCTGCTGCTGCTGCTGATGCATAAATTGAGCAACATTGCCCATAGCCAGCCAACTCCCCCCCCACCCAGTGGGGGTTAATCGGAGGGAATTTACCCGTCGGACACTTGCTGCTGCTTACAGCCGTTTAACCCCCGCATGTTTCAATGGGTTAATCTTTTGTGTATGCAAAATGAAATTTTCGCTGGAATTTATTTGCATTTTGTTGCTTCGCATAAATTGCACTTCATTTCAAAAGTAAAAAGAAAAAAGAAGAAAAAAAACCAAATAAAACGAGCAATGAAAACTCTGCAAATGCAAAACGGAAAATGCCATTAAATGGTGGGCGAAGCGAAGAGTTCTCTGTGTCTCTGTGTCTGGGTGGAATGCAAAAAATCTGTGTTCAAAAAAAAAAAAAAACATATTAAATATTTGAAGGGGAAAATATGAAAGTATGAGAATAAGATACCAACCGGAGTGGGGGGATCCCTTTGGTTTCTAGTTAACTTTTTCACACAAAAATTGTCCTTTTGTTTGTCTTTCTCTCATTTGCCTCCCGCTCAAAACACCAAAACGCTTTCAGCGGAAAGAATTAGGCCATTTTTGAGGCAGCGCCTGGTTACCTGGAAACAGCATTGTCTTGTCCCCTGTCCGCCTGCATCCTCCGCCGACCATTGGCAATGCAACATCAGGAGAGGATGCCTGCTCGTGGCTCATTATATAATAAATTCTCAGCTTATTTGCATAGTTTTGCGGCTGCGAACAATGTCCAAACCTAAAGCTAAAGCTAAAGCTGGGGCTGTGGCTGTGGCTGAAGCTTCCACCCCCACAGAGTTAATGGAATTTTGTAATAAATTTCGACTGCGGGCCTGGTTAAAAGCGACTATGACGCTCGTCCAAGCTCGTTGCAGCGGGAAAACTATTCAATGGCCATTTTTCACCCCATCCGCCTTTTCTTTCTTGATGAGGTAAGGGAAAGGCTGAGCAATTACAACAAGTGCCAAATGCACATCAACAACAGAAGCCAGAAGCCAAAGGCAGCGGCAGCGGCAGCGACAGCAGCCAGATGCCAGAAGCAAGAAGCAGGGGGGGGGGAAATCCGCCAGGACTCCTCTGACATTTCAACAACTGTCGACAGTCGAGACTGTCGGTGACGCGAGACGGAGGCAGGGCGGCGGCTGTCGCCGGAAGCGAACGAAAGTTGCTGCCCAGAAAAGGGGAGAGGGGTCTGGTGGGTGCAATCCGTAGCGGAAGCCAGCAGCGCAGTAAAAGTCGCACTACTTCTGCGGTTGTCAGTTGTTTTGAACAGCTTAGCGAAAACCCAATTGGGTGGGGTGGGGTGGTGTCGGGGTGTGGGGGTAAAAGCGAAAGGCAGTGCCGCCGAGATTGCCGCGGAAATGTGCCGTCAATTTACGCCAAGGCAATGTCGTCTTTCCCTTTGAATTTTCGCTCAAAAGTTTACACAGGTAAAGGGATATATTTGGTTAAAATACCCCACACCTCCACACTCTCCATTGTATGGTGGGGTGGGGGGAGGGGGTGGTGATTGTTCAAGTTCTTAAAAGATTCGCGGACACATGTCCCCCCCAGTCGCGTATTGATTCAAATCCTTTAAGGCTTAAAGAACTTTTTTGCGTTCGCAGAAAAGCTTGAAATATTGTCATCGGGGAGAACTGCCGAGAGAATTGCACTGCTGATACTCTCTCTCTCTGGAGGATGGTGCGGGGTAGGTTGGGGTATCCGGGCGGTGTCTCCCACAAGTTTTAAATTAACTTTTGGCCTGTGCGGGACACAAGTTTTGCTCAAGTCATTCCAATCCTTCATTTGATGTGTGTATTGTTGGATGGAAGGAAGGCACTTTGACAGCAGTTCAGTTCTGTTCAGTTCGTTCTGGCTGCAATTTCAATTTCTTTTTGTAATTCTTTGAAAATGGGGAAAAAGAGATGTATAAAAATTTATTTACATAGATATGTACCAGACATTATGAGCGAGAGAGAGAGAGAGAGACAACTTGATTTCGCATTGAACACACCAAAAATATACGGGAGAAGATATTATCCAAATTATTGTACTGAGAGGCCACTTCTCATACATGTGTATGTAGAAACATGCCCACAAATAGAAAAAACCTTTATAGGACTCAAAGGCGATAACAACAAAATACATACATATGTACATACATATGCACAAATGCAAAATTGTTATTGCAATTAAAATTTCTGCCTTTCTGCTAAACTGTTGATCTGTCAATGGGTCGATGTGCGTTACACAGACAAACAACATACTTTTGATGAGGCTACTGAGGAACTACTTCTCATACATACATACTACATACATACATGTAGATAAAAATCATAGTTTTGGGACTATTCTCCGCCTTGCATGCAATTGCATGCGCATGACTTAAAGAGGAAGGAGAGGGACGAAGCAAAATAAGCAAAATAGTTATCACAATAGAAGACATACTCTACTCTACCAGAATATACAGTTTTAGACAGACCGAGGGAACTACTCGTTTATGGGTAAATTAAAATGATTAATATATTAATTTTCATATTTTTGTGGTAATCAATGCCACTAATGTAGTTGCTTTGGTTATGGATTACTTTGTTTTCCATTATGGGACCTCCACTTATGCAGCCTTGAATATTAATGCTCTGCCTATCAGTCATAGCTAATTTAGCATATTATTTATAAGGTTCCCTCAGGTGGAAACTCGTTTTGAAATTTAAATGCATACAATTTTACTGCGTATCCTATCGGTAGGTACACTTATTCCACTCTGATGGCTGTGTTAAGTAAATTTCCACCTCGAAAGTTATGAAGCCTCAGAGGCTGCACTGCCCACCTGCCTCCTTTCATTCTCATAAATATTTCACCAACAGTCGCACCCTTTGGAGTGCTCCACTCTGGTGCTCCGCTTCTGCTTCTGCTTCTTCTGTGCTCCACTCCCAGGAAAAACACTTGAGATAAGGCGGCTGCTGCTGCTGCTGCACCTTCAGAAAGTGACCCAGACTCTGGCAACGAATTATTACAAGTGCCACAAGAGCAGGGCGACAAAGAGGTGCACATATATATATATATATGTATATGTGACAGACTCTTTTGCCTCTTGCCTATGCAAACAAAACACACACAGAGAGAAAAAAGTCAGGGGGTGAAAAACTGAGGGAAATCCGGCTGTAGCCGGGTGCACACACGGGGAGAGGGACAGGAACGAGCACATCAATCACAAAAGAATTATGTTGGGGTAAACAAAAACATTTGTCATGAAGAGAGTGAAACAGAGAGAGAGAAAGAGAGGGAGAGAGAGAGAGGAAAACAAACACAGAGGCAGCAGCAGCAGCAGCAGCAGCAGTAGCAGGAATCAGGAAGCAGCAGGCGGGAGGGTGTAGAGGAGAGGTGCCAACGGATCGAGAGCATTAGCTTGAAAAGCGGCTCGGAGCGGGAAACGGGGAACGTGGAACGAGCCTGGATGTCAAAGTGGGTCCCAGTCTGGTCCGGCTGTTGGTCAGCTTTCCACCACATAAATCTGGGACAGCTCAAAAAGGTGCATTGTGTATGGGAAGGGGGGATGGGGGGCATCTTTTGAGTGACACACACACACACACACACTAACAAATTCTTTTCACACTTTTGGCGACAAAGACAAAGGACTTGTGGTAGGGCATCCCCCCCCCCTTGGCGTTTAATCCGTACCGTTTATCCCTGCCAAAACCCCCCTCCTCTCCCCTATTGTTTGTCTCTTGACTAGCACAAAGGATAAATACTTGCTAGTAGTTATTAAATTTTATGCATTTCATGCACTTACCCTACACCACACCACACCACACCTTCCACTCCCCTCTACTTCCACTCCCATTCCCACTCTCAGGACAGCATCTTGGCTGCAAAAATTTGCATCTAAATGAGTTTGGCCCAAAGGCAACGTATCGAAACTAAATATTTGCCAATGCCAGGAGGAGCGGCAGTGGCAGTGGCAGTGGCAATGGCAGTAGAGTCTGCCTGCCAGCCTGGCCTGTCTTGTGGCAAGTGCGCTGCCAATGCATTGGGCTAGAAGACGGCAGGTTATTCTTACAGCTTATGCAACACTGCACACATGTACACAAACATTGTGGCAGGAAAGCAGAGAGAGAGAGAGCGAGGTGTGTGGGTGGCAGGCTAGAGATGAAGGAGCAGCTCAAGCTCTCCGCCCCAAAAATAAGTTTAAGGCCAACAAAACACTCTCGACTCCAAGATACCCACTATCCCGCTCATGTAGTGAGTATATACATATGCATATATATACATATGTACATGGAAATATATACAGATTAATACAATCTTTAAGCGTGCAAACTGTGGCTGCCACACAGGACAAAAGGAAAGGCAGCAGCAACAGCAATACAACATATAAAATTTCTATGTAGGCGAGTGTGTATATGTGTAGTAGAAATAAATATTTACAAGCCAAAAGAGTAGACAAATGGTTCTTGGCCATTTGTTGATTGTTTTTACTTGGAATTTACTAATATTTCCCCCAAATTACGTATAAAATGTTGCAGTCGTGCAGCAGCAGCAGCAGCTGTTGTTTGGGCCTCTGTGTGTCTATCTAAAAAGTGTGACCACCCGGAGGACTCCACTTGCCGCTTGTCTGCATCATTGTCTGCAGATTGGCTGCCATGAGACATGCAACAGAGTCGAACAGCACGGAAGGGGACAGTGGGCAATGACCTTTTGGTGTTTTGGCATTTTGGCATGCAGAAATTCACATCCAGAAGTGCGAAGCATAGCTTGGAAATGAATTTACCATTCGAATATTGAATATATTGTACAATAATTTGTTTATTTACAAAATACGCCACTGCTAACACAGCGACAGCGACAGCGACTGAGGAGACTCCACTCCATATTGTGATCTTAGGGACGCACAAAAAAATATTTCTCGAACTCCAACTTGTTCATCCGATCGGAATACTGGCCAAAAAGAAAGGCCTCCAGCTGGTACAACTTGAAGACGCGATAGAAGCCCTCGTGGACGTACTTGTTGTTCCAGATCCAAATGCAGTGATTGGGGTAGAACCAGATGATGTGGTGCCTGCCCCGCTGGTCGAGTTCGCAGAACAAATGCGTCGTGTGGAAATCGTAGGGTGGATCCACACGCAGTTCTCGCTTCTTGCGGCGAATGTGCGTCACAGCGGGGGCAGTGTCTCCCTCTGTTGCTGTGCGTGCCACAAGCATCGTGGACTCTGGTTTCATCTCAGTGGAGCTGCTGTTGTAGCTCACCCTGGTTGACCCCACAGCGATGGCAGTGTCTATGGGGTAGCTGGCTGGTTGGCGTGAGGCCTCCTTGCTATCTGCAGCCGGCAAATTTCGGGCATATCCACTGATCGATAGCTGTGACTGTCGATGGTGTAAACGGATAAATCAGTTTGGCTATCCCAGTGGCGGGCGGAATCACTTACCACCGCGAGTAGAGCCGCCATCAGGCAATGTACGAGGAAATTTTTTAACATTTCAACCAAAATTCTTTTATTTAAATAACTTATTTAATTTTGAAATTTTTTTTTATTATATTCCGTGTTTTCCCAATGAAACGAGTTGTAATAATTGAATTTTAAACAACATCTTGTATTCGATCCAGAAAAGAAAGTAAACGAAAATATTGCTAGAGTTTCCTATGTTCGTAGAGTTTTTATAAAAAAAAAAAATCAAAAATTCCTGCCCAAATAAATGCTACACATGAAATGACCCGTTGGGGTGGCGTCGGGTTGTTCGGGGGTTAGGTGCTTTCGTCACTCCTTTTCACCAATCCCTTTCGTGTCTCGGCGAACGTTTTCCGTCTTTCGTCTCCTTTCACTCCTTTGGCCCGGCGAAGGGCCTGCACTGCGTTGATTTCCGTTTTGCCGTATGTGAGAGTGCAACTTGAGCCGCCACTTGCCCCTTCTCAAGTGTGTGTGTGTGTGTGTGTGTGTGTGTGTGTATGTGTGTGTATGCATGTGCGGGTGAGTGGAAAACTAAACTGTTGCCATGTGACAAGTGGCAGCTTGACGACAGAAGCAACAGCAGCAGGCAACATCAACGTCAGCATCAATGACGCTTGGTGCGGCACTTTGCATACACACACAGACATAAAACGTGGCACAAACATGCACCTGCTGCCAGAAAGAAAAAGGCAGCACTTGACTCTTGTTGTTGCAAGTTAAAAACTGCAGAAAGCGCACTCGAAAATTGCCACAAAAAGGCTGCAAGCGAGCACTCAAGTAATGAGTGTTGTTCTTCTGCCACACGCCGCCACTCAGTCGCAGTCTGTAGGGTGGGGGAAGGGTTAAGCGTTTTGGAATTGAATACACAATGCTGGAGGTCTTGCACCTTGCCATGCGACTCACAGACTGCTGACTGGGGTCAAAGGTGAAGTCATGGACTCCACTCCAAAAGCCAAAGAATGCGAATCATATTATACGAAAATCGGATATTGAAGCTCACAAGCGATACAATAAAAAGCTGAACAAAATATGTTGATGCAGCAAGACACAAGTGAAAAAACAGAGAGAGAGAGAGAGAGGGAGAGAGGAGAGAGGAGAGAGGAGAGGGAGAGAGCAAGAGACGAAGAGAGCAAGAGACGAAGAGAGAATAAGCATCTAAAGGCAGATTGAGCTCTTCCTTTTCCATTGCCTTTCGGCTTGTTGCCATTTTCAATGCATCTCAACAATTGAAAATCATTTGAAACCTTTCAAATGCCATACAAAGGAAATAGATTTCGCACTCTCTCCCTCTCTCTCTCTCTGCCCCTCTATTTATCTGCATCTGTCTCCCTTTCTCTAATGGTTTCTCCGTTTGTTGCTGCTGCTGCTGCCATGAGATTTGATTTGAATTTGCACCAAGACGTGCCACAGTTGCCACAAAAGAGATGGACAGGCGGAAGAGTCGTACCGTCTCTCAATCGCTGTGGCAGCTCTAGACGTCATCCATGCAGCTGTGGCATGCCACAGCGTGTGGCAATATGCAGACCATGGATGATGAAGCCGATATTTACATATATGTCTGCTGCGACATTAATTGCTACAATAGGGGTCACCTTTGACCTGCTTAGCAGTTAATTGGGGGCCCAAACGTCCAGGACATTAAGTTTTATGCATTGGCTTAACTAATTTCTCTACCAGGCGCCTCCTTCTACTCCTGTGTGTGTGTGTGTCCTTTCCTTTCCTCTACTTGCCTTTCTTTTTTGTACTGGCAATTCAATTAGCAGTAAATCCTTATAAACAAGGATGCCCATATACCCGAAAATAGAGGTGGTGGTGGGGGATTGGAGGGGCCCGGTAAAATCCAGCCATCCGTGGGCGGATTTATCTATTCTATTTTGTAATTTTTAATTTCGCAACTAATGCGATTATTCACGCCTCACGAATCTCCAATATAAAATGGCATGGAATGGAATGGGAAATGGAATGGGGGATGGGGGATGGAATGGGGGATGGGAGATGGAATGGGGGATGGGCAGTGTGTTGTAAGCCCACGTTTAACACTCGGTTTATTTTTAGTTAACGTAACGTTCTCCACCCTTCTCTCCACACCCCTTCGGCAAATAAAGTAAAACTATTCCGCACACGAGAGGCGTGGCCGCCGGGCACTAAGCTCAAACTTTAAGCTCTCCTCAGCAAAGCCAAAGCCTAAAAGGTGTGTGTCCAATGCCAGAGATACAAATGTATCTCCTATATATGCGAATAGTGGTATACTCTTTCATTCTTTCTTTTTGTATCATGGGAAACACACTGCTAATTATAGTTTTTAAATACAAAATAAAACCATGAACCATGAAGTGCCAAAACGATTTAAAAACTGATGAGCGGCGGACAAAATTGCAGCTTCGGAATATATGCTCTTAAAGGCACTTTAATCTGTTTTTTTAGGAGATATTTCAAGTCTTTTCAGACCGTTTTCAAGATTTTAGTTTCTAAAATCGAAAAAAATATACGAAAATTTTATTGTTCGACTTTTGTTTTTAGTTTCTTGCAGATATATTCAAATTAATCTTATGGATTTCTGTCTCTAGTTTGGGAGGTTTCTACCACTGGCATCTGCTCCCAAATGAGCCACAGAATCGATGGACACCGTGTGGGTGCAATCTTTTTGGCAGTGAACACAATTGTCACCGAAAAGCAGCGAGGCGTGAAAATCGCACGGAAAGTTGGAAAAAAAAAAATAAACAGAGAGGCTGAGAGAGGGAGAGAACAAGTCCGGTTCTGTTGGACGTTGGTCCTTTAGGTGATAGTTTCGCCCTTCCAGGGCAAAAGCGGAGAGACGGAAGACGAGTGTCAAGTCATCATCGTCCTGGAGTGGAACTTAAAGCTCTGCTTCGTGCGCATTTATAGTTATGAGTGCTTAAGGGAAGACCGCACCACCCACCCCCTCCCCCGCATTTCACACTTAACATTTAATTAAAAATTTTGTAATTACCAACGGGAAAAGCGAAGGGGATGAGTAGTGGAGGAGTAGGGTTTGTCTTGCTTTCCTTTGGCTTTGCCACTGCATCTCCATCTCCAAGGACACGAGCGTTCCTGCTATCTGGAAACTCTCTTTCTCTCTCTCTCTCTCTGTTTATTTTGCACCAGTTCACACTTCAGTGGCTCCTGCAGAGGAGCCCCACCACTACCCCGTAACTGTTATTGCAATGAACTCTTGGCAGATGGCTTGGTCTCTAGCAGGAGACTGCGTCCTGCCATTGCCATTGCCTCTGCCACTGCCACTGCCTTCGACTTCGTCTTGGTCTCCATTTCATACTAATTGATAAATGTAAACTGCTTTAGTGCGTCCTTTTGTCCCCGAAATGGACCTGCTGCTGGGGCTGTAACCTGAAGCAGAGAAGCTCCAACTCAAACTCTGACTGCTCGCCTCCCCGCCTTCTAGAATTTTGGGCAACTAATTTGTTGCATTATCCATTGTTCCAGACGCTGCAGGGCACTGCAGGGCTCTCTCTCGCTCTCTGTCTTAGTCTGTCTGCTCTGCAGGTTACACGCATATTTCAGAATCTCTGGATGCCACGTGTGCCACCCATGTGTCTCTGTGTGTGTGTGTGTGTGTGTGTGTGTGTGTGTGTGTGGGCGTGGTCGTGCCATCAAAGTGCATGCAAAATACGTGACATGCATATTGGAAAGTCGTTGGACTATTTTTTTATTTTTATAACACACAACAAACAAACAAAAAAAACCAGCGCAAACTTTGGTTCTTGTGGCAACTTTGCCATAAAGTTGTGGTGGCATGCAACAGCAGCAGGAGCATCCTTAGTAGGGGGGGAGCTCCTGCTCCTGCTCCTCCCTTCCCTTATCAAGTCAACTTTCCGCTGAACAAAAGCTTTGTTTATTATAATATCATCCAAAGACAATTAAATTAGATGAAATATTCGTTGGACTCTCACAAGGTAGGAATCCTGCAAAGGATGCACTGAAAACAAATGGGGGAAATGTTGAAATGAAACTCTCCCCAAGCGGAGTTCTCTTCCGTGGATGCATCCACTTTGAGTTCGAATTTGCTGCAAGTTTAAGAAGCGCTAGAGCCGGTGTCCCTGCCTATGGATGGAACTGCATTAATTCCATTTCTAAATAAACAACAATTAAAGATTTGGGTGTGGAATTATGTCTGTTGTTCAGTACTCCCCAATTGCTAATTTCAGATTTATCCAACAATGCCAACAAATGAGGCAAACACACACATTTGGTGGGGGGTGTGCGGGTGCGGGTGCGGGTTGTGGAAGGGGGAGTAGTGCATATTATAATTAGCATGGGACCGAGAAACCGAGAAAATATCAGAAATTTCGCCATAATTTGCATGATAAATTGATGGATGGATTCGATGGAAAGCTTCGGAAATGCAATTATGCAGCGAAACGCTGACAGATCGCACATACAAAAGGGCAAGGCAGGGCACATGGCATGGAGCACAGAGCACAGGGCACAGGACACAGTTTAGCACCTCCTGGTAGATGACCATTAAAATGTTGCAAATGTTGCAATTTCCACCACTGCACACATATTTCCCTTTTGGCCAGGGGCCAAAATATGCACCAAAACATAGGAAAATGTGGCAAAGGCCGTAAATAAACGAAGGCAAGTGGCGGCGCGGCGCGGCGCGGCAGAGGGAGAGGGACAAAGTCGCTTGCCACAACAACAACAAAAAACCTCACTGCGAATGCGAATGCGAATGCGAATGCGAGTGTGTTCCTTGGAATTTTCATTTGTTGTCTAGAGTTTTCGCATGGTTCGAAATTCCATGCCACAATTTTCCATGCCGCACCCATCGCGTGCCCTTTTCTGTCAGCTCCAATTTGTCGCCACTCGTGCTGCAGTTGTCGCTTCATTTTCGTGTGCAGGCAGGCAGCAGCAAAAGTGTTGCCCCAAGTATTCCTACTCGTATGTTGACAGGCAAATTTTATGCGAATTTCCACTGCGTATAAAAAGAGAAAAAAAAAACGAAAATAAAATAACAAAATTTACGTGAATTTTCTTATTTCCAGGCTGAACTTTTATTTAAAATTGGTGCAGAGTTTTGCAATGGAAAATTAGAAATGAACTGTGCATGGCCCTCGGGTAATTCAATCAATCAGCTATGACAAAAGCTGCCAATCGGATCAGTCAGAGATTGTTTTCCCGCCGAACAATTAAATGCACGTGCCGGTTTTTCATGTTCGCCCCTAACGAGTTCCCTCCTCTAGAGTCAAAGCTAATTAGTCGGTTGTGAGATTGTACAGATAATCAATGGCTGAGATGTATATATAGCTGATATCTGGTTAAGCCCAACAAGTAGTTCGCTCTGTGTTATCCAGTCGAGTGAGTCTGGCTGTCCAACTATTGAAAATGTTGCATTTTACGATATTTATAGCACTTCTACTGGTCGCAGTGGTCGCTCCGCTCACTGAGGTACGTGTCCCACTATATGGGTGGAGCAAACATCTGTAGATTCCACCTAAAACTATCTCCCATAGAGCCTGCCCACTGCTCTGGATGAATCCGGATTGGTGGACGAGTGCCTGACCATCAACAACATCACCCAAGCAGAGTTTCAGGAACGCATCGACATGAGCAGCTCCGAGGAGGAGTTGGAAAATTTGGATAGGAAATACAAATGCTTTGCCCATTGTCTGGCCACAAAGTCGGACATTCTGGACAGTCAGGGGCATGTGGATGTGGCCAAAATCGATGAGAAGGAGCCCCTAACCGATGATCATCGCCAGGCGCTCGAGAACTGCAAGCGGGCGCACGATGAAGAGGCCGATGCTGATGTCTGTGAATATGCCTTCAACATACTCCTCTGCATATCGGATCATCTGGAGGCAAGCGATGCGTCAGAGTCAGAATCAGATTCAGAGTCGGACGCAGAGGCAGAGAGCAGTGGCAATGAATAATGCATCAACAGAATAATACATAGAACTGGTTTTGAGCAACTCTTTGGAATCTGAAAGTGTTTTTCTATTCAAATATAGACTGAATTCAGTTCTGTCTTAGCCATGTTCCCCTACACACTACTCGCGAGTGCCGCATTGATATCGGGCCTAATCATAGGCCTCGCTCAGGTGGGAGCTAATATTAATATTTAGAGGAATCTTTGCCTTACGCTATCCGTCCTGCCATTAGGGCCGCCATCCCTTCAGCTTCTTCGATGTGGGACTGCAGGACTTTGACGATTGCCTGAGGAGCAACAACCTCACCTACGAGGAGTACGAAACGTTCGAGAGCTTCGAGAATCTTGAGAGTCTGCTGCATGAGGCTCAAGTGGCGCTGAAGTACAAGTGCAACATTCGCTGTCAACTGTTGAGGCAGCCAGCCAATGCCCAGTGGCTCGATGCGGGGGGGCGCATGGATCTGCAGCTGATGAATGCCACCGGAGTGACGGCGGCTATGATTAGCCGCTGCATGGAGGATGCGTCGCCACCTGATGACGAACCCTGTGCGTATGCCTTCCATCTGGTGATGTGTGCCCACAAGGCAGATCATCCCATCATCGATTATGATGCGGCAGCGGAGGAGCAAGAGTTGTATGTGGATTATGTGGTGGATGGCGACGACTACGGTTTGGCAACCACTGAGGAGAGTGCCGAATAAACGGGCGCAGAAAAGTGGGCAGTAATTAATAAGCGTCGGGGTTGGGGGGGTGGCCGTCTGATTTGCATAATTAAATGGAATTGCAGGGTGCGCCCCCTGAATCAAATCGAATCGAATCGGGCTTCAAATTAATTAAATTTCAACCCAGGGGCAGGGGCAGGCATTTGCCTGCCTGTGTTTGTATTTAATTGATTTACTATATTTTAGATACATGTATCTACATCTACGGGCATGTATCTAGATGGATACACTTCGTAATCGTTTGCTGGCTGCAGGGTTTGCGATTAAGCATTGCTACAGCTCTCCCCCGCCCCTATCTGTAACGGTTGATGGGGGGCCGGGGCAGGAAAAAACATATTTCCTTACACAATGCGATTCCGTTACAGTTTTCCACGCGCTTTTCCTCACTCTCAGTCTCTCTCTCTCCCTCTCCCTCTCCCTCTCTCTCCTCTCTCTCTCTCTCGGGCATTGAGTGTTTGCTTGTTGGTTTGTTTCTTTTTGTGCCGCTTTTTCTTTTGTGCCCGCAGCAGGCGGCAGAATGCAACGGAAGTTGTCATGTTGCATTGTTGCAGCTGCTGCTGCCACTGCTGCCTCGGCAGTTTCTGGTATTGTTGCTACACGGGGAGGTGTGGCAAGAAAAGACGAGCCGCACACTTGACTGGCTCTGACGCTTGCCTCTTCCTCCTCCTGTCCTTCCCGTTTTCGATTGTGTCAGTTCAACTTTTTCCGCTTGCCACACACACACATACACACACACACACACACATGCACTCACACACTTCCCGATGGGGCGTGGCACATTAGTGGGGCAGGCAGACGAAAAATACAAAAAAAAAAACAGACCATGATTGTCAACACGCACCAACGATTCCGCGCTGCCACCTCCTACGCCGCCACAGCAGCAGCAGCGGCAGCATCAGCATCAGCGGCAGTGGCAGCAAGGCGTATGAGTAATATGTCTGGCTCCTGTTTCGGAATCCTGGCGCTGGCGCTGGCTCTGCCTCTGGCTCCTCTGCCATGTCAACATGCAAAACAACAATGGGGCGGAAGTGCATTGTAAACGTGGCATGAACCCCACATTGAGAACCCCTCTACACCCCCTAGAACGTGTTTGAGCGAAAGAGAAACGCTCTGTGGCTGTGGCTATGGCTGTCGACTGAGGTTGCAATTATAATTTTGTAAATCGACGGATGTTCGGAAAACATACGTGCAAATCGTTTGCTGGCATCCCAAAACAACAACAACAACAAAAAAAAGAGAGCAGCCCTCAGGGCAATGAGAAAATGTAATGGAAAAATGCGAAAAAGATACGACAGCTGTAGGGCAGAAAAAAAGTAAAGGCAAGTTATGGAAAACATTGTAATACATAATAAATATCACTACAATATTTATAATGAAATATTTAATAATTCATAAGAGAACAATCACTCACCTTACTTGTAGTTGTTAGATTCGTTCTGTTCATGTTCTGAAATTATAAGAAATTCTAGGTAAATACCGTGTTAAACTTGGAGCTGATTGAAAGCTACAGTCGAATATATAGGCGAAATGAGAGCCGCGAGTTCGTATAAACAGAAGCTGCTGCAAAGTTTTACATGGATCTTAAAAATAAAACAATTTATTTTATACTTTTTCTCGAATTATACAGATCCCTACCAATTCTGGATATGGTAGTATGTTATGGTATAATCTAGTATTTTTGGTATTTTTAGCAGCGCTTTCGTTGGCATTCCCTAAAGAAATAATGAACAGAATTTTTGTATTTCTGATATTAGATTTTCGAATAGTAATACCTACATTTTAGTAGTTTTTTATATTTAATAATACATTAGTTTTTATGGTATAATTTGGTATATTTTGAGTATTATTTTCAACTTAGACAAACATTTTTGGATCTTCAGTAAATATTTGCATTGCTTGTTCATTACCCATTTGAATAGCCAGAAAGAATATTCACATCGAAATCCCTTGAATAAAATAAACCCTAATACACCCTCGCGTACACACACACACACACACAGACACATGTACATACAGGTAAAGTTGTATACTATATTGTGGTATATCTATAAGCAATTTTCTTTTATGTACATACGAGTATTTTCCGATCAAAAGTTTTCGCATCATATTTTTCGCTGGGTCCAAACAAAAGCAGCTGCCGCTGCTGCTGCAAGTGCACCTTCCTCTACATCCCTATACGTCTCCTCGCACCCCTCATGTGGCAATCTAATCACGCGGCACTACCACGCCCCCTCCCACAGGTTGCACACATACTCGTACACATGTCAGAAATTAAATTCGGGGAGAAAACTTACACAGCGCTGCATACTTTGGCAGCAACTGCCAATAAAGTGCCTCCAAACGAGGAAAAGTGGGAAAAGAAAAAGCTCAAGTTTTTGCCCCTCTGGAGAAGAAGGAACGGAGCCGCCCCTTGGACCACTACTCCCCCCCACTGTTCCGCTTAAAAGCGTTTCAGCTTGAGCTTCAGGTTCAGTTTCAGTTGCAGCTTGAGCTTATGCTCTGGCTGTTGCATCGTCGCGACGACCTTTCCACGGCTCTCGTCTCGTCTCACTCTCTCTTCTTGGATCCCAAAGTACGCTTATCAAAAGGCACACACACTCACACGCACACAGACACAGACACACAGGCACTGACATGCATTCAAAGAACGTGGCACGGAGGGAGTGTCAAAGGGTAGAAAAATTCATGGGTAAGTTTTCAGAGGGGGGTGGGCGAAATGCAAAGACAAGGCGCCAAAGCGAAACGCGTAAGTTTTTTCTGCACAGTTTTTTGCTGCAGCATCTCGGCATTTGGTTGGGGAGGTTCGTGAGGAGGAGGAGGAAAAGAACTCTCTTGTTGCAAGTTCTGCATATGACTGCAGGCACGTATTTCTCTCTTGGAGCTTCCCCTTCCGCCCCTCTGGAGCAGGGGGATGAATGTAAGTTGATTTATGCCACTTTGTATACCCTGCCTGCAGCATGCGTTCGCCTGTGTGTCTGTTGCATAAATGATTTATGGCCAACTCCCGCGACAGTTTCGTTTCGCTTTCGTTTGCAGAGTGTGCAACAACAGGGGGGGTGGTGGGGGCTGGACAGAGACTGCGACTGCGAGTGCGACTGACTGCCACAAAGAAGTGCGACAGAGATGGGCGCCAGAGGAGACGGAGACAATGGCAACACTGTCGCATAATAAATAATTATAATTGTGTGGCTTTCCCCCTCTTTCATGGATACCCTTACTCTTCAAGAGGGCACCAAGAGGTACCCCCCATAAATACCGGATCTTTACTTCCGATCCTTTCTAATTGCTCGGCAGTGATCCTTACGTTTTGCTGCCATCGGAATGAGAGAGACAGATGGGTGAGTGCATCACAGCCTTCGATTCGATGGGATTTTTCCCGCTTTCCTTTGTGTGTGCCCATTAATAAACTTAATAAATATTTAACCCAAGTGTGTGGCATGACAGACAGTCCATGGAAATGCGGGTAATTGAAACTTTATTCAGGCGCTGCAAAAGAGGAGAGCAGCAGGTGGAAAAATAAAGGACAGCGCCTGATAATGTGTCAATTATGGGGCTCAAGGTATGCCGTTCGTTTTTTGGTCCCACACTTGACCCAAAATTAAATCCCTGGCTCCACCAACCTCCTCCGGGGCTTGACGCTTCCTTCACTAAACTTTTGAGCTTCCTGCTTGAGCCATGCCGAAAAATCTTTGTCCTGCCTTCCTTGGCAGTGTTTTGCACATCTCTAGAGTTTCGAAAAAGCGAAACAGGAAACGGGAAGTGCGCCTCATGCAACATTTATGGAAGCCACATGAAAGATGAAACGGCAAAAGGCAGGCAAATGGAAAAGTTGACGCGTAAAAATGGTCACAATGTGTAAATAGAAAATGGAAAATACAATTTAAATGCTGCCGCCACATACAGAGAGATGAGATTTAATTAAGTTTTCTAAACCCTACCACAAAAGCAGCACAAAAATAAACCCCAAAAATAAATTTAGTTAAATACTACACAGATGCTAGTACAACTAGTACAAAGAGAGAGAGAGAGAGAGAGACAGACCAGAGATGGTCTGTGTTTTTGTATAAATATTTGAAAAATCTTTTAGCCATAAATCATGTCACTTAAATTGCATGCATAATTTGTGCAGTCCACAAATTTAGTAAACAGAACCTCATGCATCCTGCATCCTGCATCCTTCATCCTGCCTCATGCATCCTGTATCCCATTTCTAACACTCATCCTTCAATTGATTGTCAAGAGAGATTTAACCCAACCCCACCAAACCCCCGCCTTGTCGATTGGCGCAAACAAGAAAATAAGAAAAATATCCAGCCAATGCTGTGCTGAAAATTTGCATTCGAATTTTTCTTCCTGGGGAAAACCCAGGCATTTTCCTCGATGACTTTGTTTATTTGCCAAATATCGAATCTGGGAAATGGAAAGTGAAAGATTTTCGAAAATCAATTGAATTTTATCCCAAGATTTGTAATTGAAAACGAAAATTGCATTTTCCTGTACGAATTTGGAACACAGATTCATTTTGGTTTCCTGTTTTACGTTTTTCGTTTGCTGTTCTCATCCGAAAATAGAGTCTCAGATGGAGCTCCTCCAATGGAAGGGGATTTTAAAGTGAGAAAATATTTGCCATCGATACATAGATGCCAACTTAATAGATCCTTACCTTCCCTTCCCTTTCCCATCCAGAATGCACCGAGGGTGTTTTGTTTCCATTTTTGACTTTAATATGCCCTTTGATGGGACTATGGGCAATCTGTTTCTATAAATATTACGAGCCGTAGAATATTTAATACAAAAACCAATAAACGTTAAAAGCCTTTTTCGGTTGATGGGGAAGTGGGGCGGTGGGTGTGGTGTGGTGTGCGGGGCCATAAGCCACCTGCCAATCCAGGGTTGACCCCAAAAACCAAGGGCTCAAACCACGGATCTCTCGGCAGCTGCAGGGGGTCCAGCCTTTCGTTCCCTTTGCCCTTCTGTGCTGCTTCATTAAATGCATTTAAATGTGTTTTCATCATAATTATGCAATATGCAAACATGACTCCTGCCTCTCTCCATGCCTCTCTGCCTCTCTTTCTCTCCCCCCTCTCTCACTTCTCCTGTAGACTCCCTGCCGTATGGCCATGTCGTGGGTTTTCCGGAAGCTTAAGTGCTTTAATGGCTTTAATTATGTTGCATGCAATTATTGTCGCATGTCCCATGACCCATGTCTCGTGTCCTGTGGCCGCCCATGTGCACAGCAATGATCATTATCGGCAGCAATATCATTATGCTGCCAGGATGCAAATGCAACAAAAATTATTTAATTAATAAGTGAAAACCAGTATGGATGGGGCTCCCAGCCACTTGATGTATGTACATATTTATGTATGTATGTAGGTTTGGCCTGGCGTAATGCTGTGACAGCATAGACGGATGTGGGGCATGCTCGAACTCTGCTTCTCGCTTGTGAGCATACAATTCAATCGCTAAATTATGCAAATATGCCGCAACTGCGACAATCGGTAGACGGAATGGAAAGGAACCACTGGGGCACCAACTCCATATGCACCACGTTACGTATACGCAATGCTGGATGTACACAGGCATATACATATGTCTGTGCGTGTGTGTGTGTGTGTGTATGCTTATATGTATGTGTTTGTGGGTCGCTGAGTTCATCGATGACGATTTTACTGCAATTCCGCTGCTGCTGTCGTCCGTTTCCTAGTTTTTGGCGCAGATGCAAAAGACAAAAACCAAAAAAACACATACAGAAACTAGTCTATCGACTAAGGGTTACCCTCTAATGTAATATCGTAGAAAAACAGCCCCAAACTGAGTGGAAATCTGAGCTTCTCAGCATTCGATACGCCTCTTTTTAATCGACAAATAAGGGTATCAAAAGTACACAGAGAGAGAAAGAGAGACGGTTGCAGAGGGGTACCATAAAGCCAAGCCACAACAGCAACCAGCAACAAAGTCACGGCATGTCCTCGCGATTTTCGGTTTCTGTCGCTGCCGCTGCCGCTGCTCGCCCCGTCTCTGGCTTTCGCAGCACCGCGCCGCAGCGCTTTTCCATGGCCTATTTGTTGGGTGGCACCTTTCTGCTTCGCTTAGCCGTCACACGGGCCCAGTTTTTTTTTTCTGTTGGGCTCCGGACTGCACTCGTATTTTGCGGACGTGACAAACGCAATCAGCGTTAGGTCGTCGGTCTTCAGTCGTCAGTCGTCAGTCGTCAGTCATATGTGTAAAAATGTTTTCCGCCTTTATGGCCATCGCTTGTGGCTTCATTTTTGCATGGAAATTGCTTCACAGAGAGTTACCCATAGCAGCAGTTACAGAGTCCATGGAATGGGACATTGCCATGATCTTCGGCAACTCTTATTTCTGCGGCGGCTGTGTGGAAACCAACGATTCATTGATATTATGGCACTCCTTGTACTCCTTCCTGGCACTGGAAGAGCATTCCTATCCCCCATGGGGTGTGCATATCCCTTGAAGCTTTCCCATGGTTTTCCTTTTTCCTTATTTTAGATAAAAAATTCGTTTGTCATCACGTCATTAGGCCTTCCATTCAGGCGGAAACCTAATTGCCACTTCCATTGCAGCAAATATCACTTAAGTTTTCGACTCCTTTCGACACCCGTTCGCACCCGTTCCCACCCGTGTCTGCCCCTACTTCTTAGCCCTTAACCCAGCCAGAGAGCCCTGCCTGCCATTTGGCCACAGAAGTCGCACAGAAGTGAGTTAATTAAAGTTGTACAGGAAAGGAGCATAAGCCTGGAAAAAGGCTTCTCACACATGCAGCAGAGTGAGTGTGCGTGCGGTCAGGGGAGGGGAGACTATGGCCGGTACAGAGCAAAGGCAAAAGGCCAAAACAAATTGCCAAAGTCAAAAGCAAAGCAGCAGCAGCAGCAGCAACATCACACTGGAAGCACTGGGAGTCCTTTTTTTCATTGGGCGTTGGGTGTTTTCGGGGCATCGGCCAAATGGCAATTTATAAAATCCTTTCAAGTGTCGAAAATCAGTAATTGTAGTCAAAGTGCAAATTGATTGCCACTCTCTTCTCTCTCTCTCTCTTTCTCTCTCTGTCTTCACTCTTTCTCTCCACTGTTTCTCTCTCACACTCGCTCTATCCCTGTCGCTGCCTCTTTCTGTACATTGCCAAAAAATCAGTGTGTGGCAAAGGCAGCCAGGCGGCAGTGGCAGTGGCAGTGGAGCGGCAGCGGCAGACCCATGTTTTATTGAGTGTAATTTGTAGTTGCAAATTAATGGCCTCACTTCTCTTTTAATTAAAATGCAGCAAAAGGAAAAGTAGAAGATAGGAACGCGCCTGGCTAGCCCGAATAACGGATACCCTGCGGGTGCTGGAAAATGTCCAATCATATCCGAAATTTGCATCGCAAATCCCAAATCCGTGCTTTTAGCAATAAAAACGAACTGTAGGTGGCAGTCTCGACTCTTTTTCGTGATCTATCTATCTATCGATTACTCAAACCATTGATACAATCGATACACCATATCTATAAATAAATTATAATTTTTAATTATTATTCGATAATTTAATTATCGCATACCTATCGATAAATTAGATCAGAAACTGCAGGACCTATTTACTTTTGTCCAAAAATGATAAACATTTCCCTTAAACAAGCTGCATAGCAGGATCCAGGAACTCTCTGCACCACCAACAAGGACATCATAATAAATTTGCTGTGGAATTTCTTGCAGCTGTACACAATTTCCAGTGCTAAGGACACACTCTTTCTGGTCCTTTTTGGCTCGTTTGGAGTGTGTTCTTAGGTTATCCCTGGAGGACCGTCCGACCTGGCTAAGTAACTGGATTGCCAGGACTTTGTGTGTGTGTGGGGGGGCGAGACAGTGACAGCTCCATCTGTATAAAGCAGGTTCTTATCCTGCCGCTAGGATTTCCCTTTTGACTGCATTACCCCTGGCTTCTCCCGTTACGCCCCCTCTCTCTCTCACTATGCCTTTGTGTCTGCGTTCCGTGCCATGCCTTTTACGCGAAAGACTTCATAACCCCCGAATAGTCGCTCCCTTTGCGAGTCAGGTGGAGGGTACACAAAACACAGGACACAGGACACAGTCTCCTCCATCAAGTTGCATTCCTCAGCTGCTCTGCTCCGCTGCTGCCTGTTGCATGTCAACCCACGCTTTAAGCGGATGCAACAACCGACAAAAGTTTTGAATAAATTTGCGCCATTTGCCAGCGGCAGCAACAAGGCAGCAGCCAGGACGAACGAACCGGAAGGACGCGGCATCATCAATTTTGGTTTGAGAGACTCATCAATAAAACATAACAGCAGCAAATGGAGACACATGCCACTTGCACTACCCCGCATGCCACATGCCACATGCGACTCTGGACTACTCGCATGTCCTGCATCTCCTTGCTGCAGCTGCAGCTGCAACTGCAACGATAACAGCCGCAAACAAAAGCTACGCCAGCTAATTTTGTGTGAGGGGAAAAACTTTAATGCTGACACTTGAGGAAAACTTCGACTGCCCTGAGACAGCACTTTGCCTGGGGAGGGGGGGCAGGGGGGAGGACAGCGTAAAGGACACGCTGTGACAGTTTGACTTTAAGCTGGCAATGCTTTTGGCCGTCTGGCAACCTTCGACACAACCCAACGACACTCTCAGAGGTTGCCACACGATGCTGCCCGCTTATCTGGCAATGCCTCCCCCCCCCCCCCCCCGAATCTTCGATGCCTGCCCCCTTCGAGGAGTGGAGTGCAGTGGAAACTTTTTGGCAGCATCGAATGTGTTTTTTGCAAGAGAAATGCTCGCCTGTCAACACTCTCTCTCGCTCTCTCTCTCTCTCTGTCCCTCTCTGTGCCCCAAGGGCCCCGAGTGTCGGGGGTCAAACCCAAAAAGCAGCTTGGCTTTTGGCCCACTGCCAGAACTCACTCTCGGGCTATTCTCTCAGTCTCTCTCTCTCTCTCTCTCAATCGGATGAACTGCAACTTTATTTCTCAATTCTCATTGGTAGGTATTTGATTAGTAGGCGCTCAGGATCATGGGTATATGCAGAATCTTGACCAGATATCCCACCGCACCCATCAGAAGGATGCCGGCGCCCACGGCTATGGCGGTGCGCCTGAACTCGCGACGATCGGGCTTGTGGCAGCGCTTGAAGAAGCGCATCCCATCCGTGATGAATGCCACTGTCGGCAGCAGCACTGAATCAAGCATGGGACGGCAGCGGGGGCCCCACGACATCTGCTGCATGTCCTTGAGCATTTTGCCAACGAATCTACATACGCGAAGGTGAGGAATATGAGTGACTGATCTCTCTCTCTCTCTCTCTCTCTCTCTTAGTGGCACGTACCCATGATGCTGCTTTTGCCGCTGTCGACGACGCTGCTGTAAACGGTCCATTTGTTAGAGGAATGTTAGAGGAATGTCCTTTAAAGGATACAAAGTTAAATAAATTTAGTCGCTGGAAAATCAAAAATGGTTGTGTGTGTATTTTCTTTCGATTGATTTTGTGTTATTGGGCTGAATGATTGAGGGAAAGCCTTCGCCTTCTCTGATCTCTAATCTCTGAGATCTCTCTCTCCCGCCTCTCTCTCTCTCTCTCTGTACAGTCTCTAGCAGCATCCTCTGGCCACACATGCGTGTGGTGTGGCACAATGGAGGGAGGGGACGACTCTGCCTGCCTCGGGACTTACACACATAATCAAAGTTTATGCAAACTGTTTGGCACAAACTACGAGTACAAGCATTTGCGAGACTGCTTTTGTCTGCCACTTTTGTACTCTACTGCTCTAATGGCAGGAGGCAGGAGGGGCAGTGGCAGGGGTAGGTAAATGCAGCAATTTGTTTCACTGCCGAATCGTTGCCTGTCTTCACTTGAAGCTTAACTAAATGCACAGGGGGCAGTCGAGGAGTCCGAAAATGTTCTGTGCCTGCCCCCCCCCAAAAGAGACTAAGCCAACAATTGCCCCCATCTCCTGTTCTGTCTCTCTCTCTCACTCTCTTTTTGCTCCTGCTGCTGGCTGCTGTTGTTACGATTTGACAGCGCCTTGGCTTCAGAGTATCCCCAGGACAATTCACTGCAAAATTGGTAGACAAAACTGTGTGCCTGCGTCTGTGTCCGTCTCCAGCTTCCGTAGCTGCTCCTCTTTGGGGTGGAGGCATCCTGGTTTTGGGATGTGGGTTGTAGGATGTGCTTTATGATTGTGTGTGCGTGCCTGACGCTTCAGCCATTGCCATTGAGATTGAAAAATGTTAAAAAATTGCTTTTAAATGCCGCAAAATACAATTTATTATTCAGCAGAGGGAAACGCCAAACACTGAGAGAGGCAGGCACACACACACACAATGTGCACCCAGGGACGTGGAGTCTTTGGGCTGGGGCTGGGGCATGGGGCATGGGGCATGTGGCATCGGGCTCCATTCAGTGCTGGTGCGTAGCAAAAGCTCAACAGTGCCGAATGCTTGGGTTGTAAATTTAAATAAAGCCCACATACACACACAGATACACACACAGAGGCAATTTCTGCTGGAGTCCTGCTGCAGTTGTTTTGTTTATTACGCATACGCACTGGTTGCCTTCTGGTCATAAAGCGAAACGTTGCTCTCCGGTCTGTCCGGTTCGTGGCCCTCGTTGTGGCCCCCTTTTTCGGTTCAGCAGTTGCAGGCAGCAGTTCTTCAAGCTGCCGACGCCGCAGCCGATGCCGCTGCCGTTGCACGATACTTTCCCTGCCAAACGATTTTCAAGTGTCCCTTTCACACACAAATTCAAACTGCCCCGAAAATTCATTACTTCATAATCGATTCATCGTCTCATCAAGCAATCAACGGAATCAACACTCAGAGAAAAATGGGGAGAGTATTTCGAAGATTTTGAATGGCACTAAAAGATCAGGAAATTGCGGAATTAATCTTTTGACCACCTGCCAAGCGACTTTCCCTCCTCCGAATCCTCAGGCCAAAATCCTTCAGTTGTTAACACACTTTTAGGCCCCAACTAATTGTGGATCAGGCCGTAACTTCTCCACTCCTCCTCCGCCTCCTTCATGTGCCTCTCCCCCTTGCCCGTTTTCTCTATGGTTTTTCCTCTGTTTGCGGCGGCACTTGAACAATTTTCCATGTGCTCTCCACAGGCCATCCCCAACCCACCTCCGAAAAACTTTGGCAATAAAATTTGTTTCAAATTGCTTTCCAAAAAGGAGCGAAAGAGAGATGGAGTCTTGCCCCAAAGTGCACCCGGAGGGGCCAGAGAGTGCCACAGAATAAATATCAAATATATTGAGAGGCGGCAGGGGGCAGGGGGCAGGGGGCATGGGGCAGCAGCAGCAGTCGCGCAAAAGTTAATTACATTGTGTTTTACGGGGGTTGTGGGTGGTGTGGTGGAGGGGTGGGTGGTTTAGTGGAAGTCCAGAGGGCAAGGCCTAATTTCGTAATTCTCTTTCTGAATCTCTCATCATCAGAGCCAAATGATAAGCCACAAACGCATTTTGTGCCTCCTCCTTAATTTACAGTTCAAATCTGCAAAATTAGCCTTTCAACAGTGCCACGCTGCCACACTGCCACCGTGCCACACTCGGCCATACAGCCACGCCTCCTTATCATCATAGTCCCCCCCACCCATCGACAGTACCCCATTCCGCCCGATGGGCAGGGAGGGAGGGAGGAGGGTGGCATGATGACAGCTGGCACACCATTTTGTGTTGCGAAAAGTTTTTGCCTTTTGGGTTTCTGGTTGCCGGAATTCGGGATTCTGCTGGTAGCGTGGGCAGGGGCAGGGGCAGGCAGGGGTCACCTTTTAGAGCTAATATTTTCATTATTTTCCATTATTTATGTGTGATTTTTCTGTGTGTTTTTTTTCCACATGGAAATTAAATGCAATTACAATTACAGATGGGCGTGGCCTTTGCGGCATTGGGGAGGGGGGAGGGAAGCTGCTGAATGAATTTTCCAGAGCCGTTTGATGTTTCGTGTACCCGCCGCGGGCAGCCAACAACAAATACATTTAATTTAATAATAATTCTTAAACAAGAGTTGGGCGCTTAAAGAGGCCCTGTGGCATCCTGTGGCATCATCCACTGGGGGAAAACTATCTGTGTGAACCCATCAATGCGTTCTGGCACTGTTTTCTGGCTGTGTCTGTCGCCCATGTACTCCTGTGCCTCCCTCCCGCCTGGTTCTGGCCAAATCAAAAAACCTTTTCAAACCGACAAAAATATAAAACCTGCGCAATGATTGCCAAAAACGAAGGAGACACTGCCACTACCACTGCCACAGCCACTGCCACAGCCATTACCAATTTTTGTGCTTAACGCTTCACTGAGCAAATCACTGAGAGACACAGAGAGACACATAGAGACAGAGACAGATAGTGGCAGAGGCAGGGAAAGAGAAACAGACACAGACATAGACATAGAGATAGAGAGACATCGACATCCCATCGAGCAGCAGTGCATGCAGAGGCATGCCCCCCTTCCCCCTCCCCACTCACAACGACCTGCCCGCTTATTCCATCAGCATGTCATCATGGCAAATCAGACGACATGCAACATTGCATAAAGATTTGTCACAGCTAAAGCTGCACTCCTGCTCCTGCTCCTGCTCTTACTGCTGCTGCTGCTGCTTTTGCAGCTCCTTCGATTTGTCCCACTTCTGGCTATTGGGGAGAAATGGTGAGCCATGGAGTAGTTTTCCTCCGGCAGCAGGAGCAGCTCAAATCGCATTTTCGCATGCTCAAATTCGACAAACAGCACAACAAGAGGGAGAGAGATAGAGAGCAGCAGCAGGAGGAAACGGGCAAGGAAGGAGGAAGGAAACAGGAGACAGGAAGAGGACGTAAGATGCGGATGCGGATGCAGTGGATGCTGAATCCGGAGCAACTTTTGCTGCAAATTCAATTTCATCATTGCTGCCCTCCCACCAGTTCCAGAGTGCTGCAGACCTGCAGACCTGCAGTCCTGGAGTACGACTTTGGGTCCTGCTCCGCTCTAAAAGGAAGACTCCCCCCCATTGATTCGTATTGCATTTCAATATATAAATATTTATACACAAGTACACATCCCCTTTTTTCTTTCTTTCTTTTCGGGTCTGGCGTTAGACCCGCGACTTGTCATTCTACACTGGAAGAAAAACACCCCAACCCATTTTTTCTCAGCCTTAACAGTTGCCCAAAAAAGCTCTTTGCCCATTTGTGGCTAGTTTCTCTCAGTGTAAGCCGTACTAAAAATGTAAATATATTTGAGGCGATTGCCAAGGCTAAACCCAAACCCAAACCGAAAGCTGATGCAGATTCTCCTTTTGTTGGCGGTCTCTCTCTCTCACTCTCTGGAAGAGTAATGGAGCCATGTCGGGGCTTTGCTTCTGCATCTGTTTCTGATCCGCGATTTCAGTTTCTGCTCCTCCTGTTCTATAAATTGTTTAGCTATTATTTATTTCCCGCCGCCTACCCCTGGGGCGTTCTCTTTTTATTGGAAGGTCTCGCCCTGACATTTGACGGCTGTCCCCCTGTGCCCCTGTCGAGGCCGTTGTATAAATCATGGCTAAGCTTTTATGACATATGCTAAAATTTAATTCCCCCATTCGCAGCAGCGATCCGAAGCTGTTGCGCCCCATTTCCTCATTGTTTTTTTTTTTGGGGGCTCCAATGCGTGACAAAATGATTAAGCGGTTAGCTGGCACGGCAGGGGCTGCGTGTGGGGGGGTCAGTGACAGTGCGAAATTTCGGTTGATGTTAACGATGTGATTAGATAAGTGGATGTATCGCACGTATCCATCGGGTGCTGCAAGAAGCCAAGGGAGCAATGACAGGAGCACATGTCAAATCCATTGAAATTTAAATATTTAATGCAGATCATTTGCGCCTCACATTTGTGACAGGCGAAAGATTCGCAAAGCGTCGGAGGGAATATGTGAAAGTCATCCATCCATCCATCCATCCATCCATCTATCAGATATGCCATCATCAAGTGCCCAAAATAAATATAAGCAAAATAATGTTCGTTTAAACATTAAGCAGAGCAAAATAAATCAAGTATCCTTTAAATTAGACACCAAAATAGAAATGCACCTTCAAGTGTCTCATAAATGAGAGAATTCTTAAATTAAATTACGCTTTATTTACACATGTGAAAGACATCCATCAGCTGGGCCACACCACCATGCACCATCAAGTGTGCTTTAAGTGGAGCTCACATTCAATTAGAATTGTAAATGGAACAGAAGCTGGGATTTATATATTGCCAGCCGACCAGAAGTGCAATTTGTGGTGCACTTAACGCATTTCATATGCTAATTACGGGCCATAAATCGTTCCGAAATGTTTCATGTACCTGCGTCTTCTACGTGGGAACGGGAACGGGAAAGGTAACGGTAACGGTAACTGGAACGGACGAGGGTCATAAAAAACCAGGAGACAATTCCAAAGATTGGATAAGTTTTTCAGGTGCTCCCACGACTGCTGCTGCTGCTGCTGCTGGTGCACCTCCTGCTGCTGCTCCGCCTTCTCTTTTGCTGTTGGAGCCAAAAACTATAGACAGACAATTTCC